TTGTGAATGCCCCAACACTGGAAGTTTTTAAGAAAATGTTGGATAGCCATTTGTCTGAAATGGAATAGGGTTTCCTGCCTAAGTAAGGGGTTGGACTAGAAGACCTCCAAGGTCCCTTCCAACTCTGTTATTCTATTCTGTTCTGTTCTAAATTCAGTTGAATCCAATTAATACTGAAGACTTGCGAGTGTCTAATAACATAAGTCTGTATCTAAAAACAAGAAATTCTCATTGTCTTGGATAGAGATGATGAAAATCATATCACATAATATATTGATTGTATAATCCAGTGTTCCCCAAGCTGGCATTCTCCAGCAGCTGAAAAGAACAATTCCTATCATCTACAGCTATAGACCCAGCAGGCTAATTTTGGGAGAAAGATAGTTGATTAGAACAGTCCTCCAATCCAATCTGAAAAATGCCAGATTAAGGAAGAGTTAGTTTAAGTATGCTGATTTACCGCAATAAATTAAGGGCTTATTCTTACTGTGATTTATATTAGTTACAAGAAGATTCTCGAGCCAAAAGGGAGCTAAAGAAATAAACAACGCTGCAATAACAATTCAGTCTTACTTCAGAGGATACAGGGAGAGAACAAGTCTCAAAAAAAGAAGGTAGTATTTTATTTTACTTATGATTACTCTGATAAATACCAACTCTTCTGCAATAAAACACAATATTCTGTTTCATTTCAAGCAGCACCATGCCATGCAGTATTTCTCAAAGGGAGATTTCCTCATACTAAGTTTTGTTTTGTTTTCAAAAGAGAAACTTAGGAAAGGTGCATGTTCTAAAACTACGTTAGAAGGAAAAGAAGAAACCTTCAACCTGTATTCTTAACATTTTATTCATTAAATGAGATGTGAAATTTCCATTCTGCTTGGAATGGAAGCAAATGCAATTTTAAATCACTCTTGGATAAACTAGAGATGCTGAAAATATAGCATACTTAAAAAAATACAAGAAAGAAAATAATACTGAATAGCCTTTTTACCTGGTACTCAATCTGGAGTGCAAATTACTAAAACAGATGCATTAGTGGCAGAATGCCGTTCATTACCAAGTGATACTGCACTGAATTGGACCACCCTTGGTCTGGTCCAGTGGAGCTGTTCTTAATTTAAAAATTATCTCATTCTCCTCTTCCTGGGCAACACAGATATTGGTGGCCTAGAATCACAAATTTCCACTCAAATGAGGCCTTTCTGCAATTGGGCCGAAGAGCTAGTATTGGAGTGGACTCAAATGGCCCCTCCAAGTCCATTTCTTCTTTCTCTGCAGTAGATATGGAAGGTCATTTCACCGGACAGGAATTTGTTACTGGATGATCTGACAGTGAGTGAGAGGTGATAAAAGTAAAAGCACCATTTTGTTTCCCATTGTACTTTTAATAGCATAATATACAGAAAAGTGCTATCTTCAGTAGCTGCCTCCTAGTGACCATAAATCCTATTATTTAACATTACAGTATATACCTTTATTTTGCGAAATAAACTTATGTGCTGCATACATAAAAAAACATCATTCCAAAGAAATGTTTCACTTCCTTTTCATTTTGGAAAAAAAAAAGTACTGTATTGACAGTTTAGTGCATAAACTAGGGCTGAGTGGTCTTGTAAGGTTACTGTCTCCTGTAATCTTCGCTAAATATATTACATCTGTTTCAGGGAATCACTTCTCAAGAATAAGCAAGCCGAAATGGCAACAAGCCCAGGAAAAAAAGAAAATCTTCCTAAAGAAGACCAAAATCCAAGCCAGCAAGCTCCTCGTGTTTTTCCTCAAGAAAGTCAGGGAGGATCTGTACGAACCGCTCAGAAACCTATTGAAGCCGGCCAACAAACCACTGAAGACAAAGCAAAGGCAGCACTAATTATTCAGAGTATTTATCGAGGGTACCGAGTAAGAGATCAGCTCAGAAAGAAAAAGAAGTTACGTTTTGAAAATCAAGGTGATAGTGAGTCTGATGGCCTAGCTTTAAAAGGTGGCCCAGAAGAGGAAAAATCTAACTTGGCTGTTTTCTCCAAGCAGGTAAGCATTTTAGAATAACCTTTCTCTATGTGTGTTGGGCCGAAGCATCCATTATACCTTCTGGAGATGATCAGAATTCTAGTCCAAAGTATTTGAAGGACCCAAGATGAGGAAAGACCGATTAAGCANCCCTCCCAAAGGGAGGCGGTAACAACCGCCTGGATCCAGCCCCGTGTCACCTCCCTGCTGTATGCCACAAAGACAATAAAGTTTGTCCCAAAGAATAATCTTTCATCCACTCCCTTCCTCCTTGCAGATGTGACTAACTAAGTTAATCCTGTAGGAAAATACAACAGCTTGCTTTAGAGGTTTTCACTTTCTGTCTTCAGCTTACAGGGGATATATCACCCGCAAAGCATTTGCAGAAGCAAAGAGTGTGTATGGAACAGCTATGTGGATTATCAAGCTCCAGTCAGGTAAGACTTTCCACTTATAGCATCAAGGTTTGTACAGTCAGAATGCATAGCTGTCAACAGAATTAGAAGGAAAAACTGTTTCTTCTATTTCTGCCTAATTTGTTTCAGCCTGAGCTAGTAGTCGACTACAAGTGGTAGCTGAGAATCAGGACACAGGAGTGAAGCCAGATATCAGAGCTAGAAATGAGAATCTAGGACTTGAACTATTTTTTTCTAAAGTTGCAAGTCAAATAGGAGTTCTTCATAGACCTTCCTGCTGAAGCAATAGGCAGCCTACGTGAGCAGAATTATTGCAGTAACCCCGAACTGTTTCTGACACCATGATCCTATCAGCCAATGGCAGTGAGCAATAGAATATTGAATGAAAAGTGGTAGTTCCACCCTTGGTTAAGGGGGGGGAAGGTCGAGGGAGGGGGAAAAACTTTCCAGATAGGGGAAGTAGACAAAAAGAGTTAAATCCCATGAGAATTGAGAGCCTAGTGACTTCAAAGAAGAAAGAATAACAGTAAAACCTGAGCATTGAGGTGAGATTTTAGGAACCCCCCAAAAAAGTTTGAACAAGGGAAATCAGGAAGCAGGAGCTGCGCATGGCCTGATTGAAGCAAATAAATGCTAGGTTATAAAGATTAGAGGCAAGGCATCAGCGGAACTGTCACTTATGATCTTGCATTCCTAAGCAAACCTGCTTTCATAAAATTTGGTGGAAGATGCTTAGTATCTATCAACCAAAGCATTGTGATGAAATTGATAGAGAAGAATCTTGACAGACTTGGGTATTGGACACTATCTAACAAAATTAAATTCAATGGTGAAGAAAGTAAGATTCTACATTTAGGCAAGAAAAACCAAATACACAGGTACAGTATATGTGGTACCTCACTCAATAGCATCTTGGAGTCATGGTGGACAATCATTTAAATATGAGCCAGCAGTGTGCAGAAGCTGCCAAAGAAGCCAACACAGTTCTAGGCTGCATAAACAGAGAGATAGAATCAAGATCACGTGAAGTGTTAATATTTTATATTGCCTTGGTAAGGCCACACTTGGAATACTGCAGCCAATTTTGGTCACCACGATGTAAAAAAGATGTTGAGACTCTAGAAAGTGTATAGAGAAGAGCAACAAAGATGATTAGGGGGCTGGAGACTAAAACATATGAGGAACGGTTGCAGGAACGGAGTATGTCTAGTTTAATTAAAAGAAGGACTAGGGGAGACATAGCAATAGCAATAGCAGTAGACTTATATACCGCTTCATAGGCCTTTCAGGCCTCTCTAAGCGGTTTACAGAGA